GGATCGGATATAGAGCAAAGCGCGAACTGACCTAAGAAATGGAGTTCGGGTATAACTGCGGCATATTATGCAAACGACAGTGCTAGGGATAGAAAATTGGATTGCTTTCAGTTGTTGTTGAGATGGCCATGGAAAATATTGAAATTAACATACAAAATAGGCAGCTAAATTCTAAATGGAATTTCCATTATTTTTGGTGAATTTTCGGATAAGCCTTGACAGCAGTATAGAGCACATTTTTTTTATTGTATTATAATCAATATAAGTTATATAAGTTATCATGTCACAGTTCTCTGGTACAACAAGGTAGAAAGTGTTAACATAATAATTTAAACCCATTCAAAATTGTATTCTTAGATCCGCAAAATCCCAGTTTAAATCACAATTTCAACAACATTTTCACGCCAAGTTTTCACTGAAATGAGCAGCAAACTTTTCGACATGCTGAAAACTCACCCTAAGGTATAAGCTATTTATGCAGAAAAGAGCACGTTTTCATTTTCGAATTACGAATACTAAAATCAGTTGAATGTTGTTTTGCAAGTTATGAAGTTTTAAGCTAACTATTAGCGAAGCTCCCCTTAGAGCTCAACCAAACTCTTTCTCCTCGCGCGCATCTAAGCAATGCAATTTATTAAACTAACTACTTAAGCATGCGAATAAAAAAACCTGGCACACACACAAAACAAGTAAGTGAGCTTAAGATGAGGGTAGGCGACTAGTATATACCCTCTAAGCATGCATAATAGAATAAATGCAGCTTTCATTTAGGTTTAAATATGCAAAAAATATTTGATAGATGGGAATCCACAAGCTAAAATTTGGTTCCTCATTTCTATTATGGGATCTATTAAATTTCTATAATGAAATCTGCTTTAAACACGTCCTTAAAAATTGTGTACTTTATGTTATCCATTGTTAATGAGTACAGGGTATACAAATAATCTAACACACTCTCAAGGCGGGAAGCACTTAGACTCAAGCAGCGCAGCAAAGCAGCTGCTAAAGAACCAGGAGCAGTGTGAGGGGGAAGGGCTTGCTTGAAGACCGGGCGCACTCAAGTGGCGGCAACACACTTCAAGGAGATATTTTCAACACGCTTTGGCTTCGACAGCAGCAGAAATAGCAACAAAGCAGCAGCAAGGACAATGGGCGCTAGGCATTTGCAACTTAATTGCAAGGTGTGTGTGTGTGGGAGAGTATGTAAAAGGGCGTGGCATGTCCTTTGCATAATGCATGAGTCGACAACACACGGGCTCGTCATAATCATTTTGTCAGCTGCCTGCTACGCGCTAATTGCAATTAAACAATAATATGAGTGTACGAAACAGCAATGAGCACTGCAAAAGAATGGGCGAGAGAGCGAGATGGAGAGTCTCTAGTGGAAATTTGTGAAAAATTCGTTTAGAAAAGTGAAAATGGCGCGTAATTGCGTGGACTATAAGCGAAGCGTTGCGCATGTCGCGCTCTACGCAGCAAAAGGCGTTTAATTAAATGTTAACAGCAACACAAAACAACAACAACAACAACAACAAGAGCAACACGGGCTAACGACAATTAACAAAGCCTTATTGTTGTTTCTGTTTCTGTTTCGAGTCTCGTTTGTTGTCTTTGCCATTGTCTGCATGTATTTGCATATCATTAAGCCAAGCAATAATAAAAATTGCGCTCTCACTCTCGCTCCGAGTGCATTATCAACATTTGTAACACATGCGCGATGGTTAGGTAAGGAAGGGGCGGAGCGACGGGCGTCAGCCATGTATTTAATTGCCAACTGAAGTTTCTTTCAAAGCTGGTAGAAAATGCGTAAACCAATTCTCACAGCAAAATAGTTTGTCTCACTTTTGTAGTTTTCATTGTTAATCGGAAATCAAAGGTGAAAAGCTAAATGCTACGAAAGCGATGCTTGTAGATTGGGCTTAAGCCCTTTGCGATTTTTGTCAATCTACAGCTAAGAAAAATTCAATTTTATGTAATCTATTGCAGTGATCTACAAGATAGCGAAGCATAACAAAATGTTCGTCATTTTGGTTTTGCTAAGCTCTCAAATATATTTTTATACCCTTAACCCATTAAAAATGGGTAAAATGGGTATCTTTATTACTTCAAACGATTATAAAATTCCCTAATTTCATTTGTAAAAAATAAAATATGAACCTGTTCAAAAAATTAAAGAGCAATTATTTTGCGTAAGGCTTAGAGTTTCAATAATTTTTCTAACAAGTCCCCTTTATTATAGTAGCTATAAAATACATTTAACTATCTTTTTGATCACTCAACTGTTTCGAAAGGCGGTCTTTAGCCTCAGGCCGCAATGGCAGCCATAAAACATCATTAAGTAGCGCACTCCCAGGTGTAGCTCGATTGGCTCTTGCCTTTTCCACTTAAAAGGTAGTGCACGGTGTTTTATAACAGCCCGTAAAACAGCCAGGACAAATATTTGAGCTGTGCAACAAAAAAAAAAGAAGAAAGTTGGAAAATTTACGAGGTGTGGTGAGTAGAAACTGGGATAGCCTCACGTTTATCTAGTCGAAACACAGGTCGGGCAAAATTGACAACTCAATTGCGAAAACTATTTACACGCAATTAGGCGAAATGACAGGCCACAGGCCGCATCAGAGCACGGCAAAGTTGTCAAGTGAAATGGGGAAAAGGCACATAAAAAGAGGTATAACAAAAGGGCAGGTTGCTTGCTCCGCTGCGTCTAGAGTGTAAATATTGACCAGGCCTGAACAAACTGTGCCAGCCACCGGGGCACACACCGAGGTGGCCAACAAGGCAGCAGCTCATTCATAAATGCATTAGTTAGCTGTCAGCCAGTGCAATCGAATTCATGTTGGCATTAACTATAAATTATGCAGTCCATGAATTTGACATGGCTCAGCAAACCACTTGGACACTGACCACCAGCCATGTACGTATACTTGTCAAGGTGACTGTAAACGGATTCTCTGTTTATTACATGAGCCGCATTTCAATATGCAAAGGATACGCCAGCATCACAGTTGCAAGTGGCACTAATAATATATAATATAAAATATTACTCGGTTTTGTTTGGACACGGTATTTTCTTAACATTCATTTTAATTTTTATTGTAGACAATAAATTCGAAGCCGATCGGACGAATGTGCTATTCAGATATACAATTATTTTTTAGCTAAGTGAGTGAATATTCGGAAAAGTGTGAAATACGTTTCAAGTTAGTTTTTCAAAATCCTTTAATTTTTCGATGTTTCCCGCTTTCAAATTTTGTGACTACTTTTAAAAAGTGGAGTATCCTAGCTTTTACGTTTTGGGCTCCGTGTTAATCATCAGCCTGTCAGCCGGTTGGGAGCTAGAGTCTTAGATGTAAAGCGTTTATATATTCCATTTAACTCGACTTATTTGTGTTGTGCAGCTTGACCCAGTTACACTCTGTTCTTTGGCCTTGAGAGACAGTTGTAGAACTTCTACAAGCTCTGCAGTTGTCCTCGCATTGCAGTTGACATTTGTGTTCACACATACATACTCCCGCAATCATTGTGTTTGTACCTGTGTGTGTGTCTCTTGGGTCGCCCTCTTGCATGATTTAAAACTATTTAACTTCTTTTGGTGTTTTGCCCTCTCCATCGTATTTCGTTTTCGTTTTCTTTTGCTCTGTTTTGTTACGCTTTTTGACATTTTGCGCTGTGATTTCCCATTTTTGCACCTTTTATTCTGAGTGGTTTTACGAGTACGAAAGCTCTCAGTTGCCCCCCTTCCCCTATTCCGCTCTTCTTTTGTTGTTCAAAAATTTATGAGTTTTTTAACCTTGCTGCAAATGGCAGGGACTATGTGAAAAAAAATTAAAAGAAACAACAACAAAATACAACATTTTGCTGACAAACCCAAGCGCTCGACGGGTTGTCCCCGTACAAAAGTTGATGTGGTTCTTCTGTGTGGGTGTGCATGTGTGTCAGTGGTTGTTGTATGTGTGCCCGAAACAGTGTGGGTGGGTCTGACCGTGTGAATGTTTGTGTTTCTCAGTAAATTGTTAATTACTATTGTGATGCGTTCTGTATTTTTATGGACCAATTGCTTGCAACTGCAGCGGCAATGCGCAAAAGAACTGCCGCACATGCGGCGAATGCGCAATTTTTTTAATTTCCTTTGACATTCAGCGCAATTAGAGGGATTTAAAGATTTCTGATATGCGTATATTAATATAGCAATAATTTAATTGTTTGAGGTTTAAGCTTTTTCAACACAAAATGCATTAATGGGCAACAAATTAATAAAAAAGATTTAAGAGAGAATTATCAGAAATATCAAACAAATTAGAGAAACAAAGAGTAGGTCTCTTGATTGCGATTGATGAAAATGACAATGCTATGTGGCAAGGGGAGAGTGAAAAAAAGGGAAACAGGGAGGATGACAGAGCTTTATCAAGACAACCAAAAACAAAGTAAAAATGAAAGCCAATAAACTTTATTAAAGAGAAGTTAAATGAAGAAAAATTGAACACAAAGAAACTTGCAAAAAGATAACACAATAGTCCTATGAAAGGAAAGGGGAGCGACAAAAAAGAGAGAAATAAACTTAAGAGCGTGTTAAAGACACAATAAAAGAAACATTTAAGAGAAAAGAAGCGCAAAAGCCAAATACGTAGACAGTATAAGTAAAACGTATATGGTTGAAGAAAAAAGAAAAACAGATATTATTCCTAAATGTCGCCCAATTGTAAAATCTCAAGTTCAGATTCAACAATGATTGATGTGCACACCTCTGTTATTGCGCATACGCCACGTTTTTACTGGTTGTCAGCGACACGGGCAACCATTTAGCGAAATTAAGTGGCTGCCAAAATTCGATTTGCTGAAAGATTTTTAATTGCTTCCTAATGAGCTGTCAGTATATACGTACGTGTGTGAAAGTCGTTTATTAGCTAAATTTGTTGAATGTGCCATAAACATAAATCAGAATTGAGTTTTTGAAGCCCCCACTAATTGGCACACAACGTATTTTTCGTCTGCCTTTGCAGAAAGCTGTCAGGGACCACACGAGAAGCGCTTACTCAATCACCTGCTGTCCACGTACAACACACTGGAGCGACCCGTTGCCAACGAATCGGAGCCCCTGGAGGTTAAATTTGGACTGACGCTGCAGCAAATCATCGATGTGGTAAGTTTGTTATTAATAGGGATAGAGAAGCGACGACCACCAGTCAAAATTCTCAAGCAGCTGCAACTGCATCAATAATCAACTAAAATAATTATATAATCAAATTAATGGAATGACTTTCCAAGGCTATGCGGAGTTTTTTTTTATGTGTAGCCGTCGCGACGGTCTAGAGTACAACAATGTCTAGAAAAAGCAAATTTAGGTTTGAAAACAAGAAAAAAATCAGTTGCTGACCACAGGCAGTTGTGGTTAGCCTTGGTAAGTGACATGTACCCGTCGTTCAGTACCTTTTCTTTAAATGTTCTTTTTTTTACAAACCACAAATAGCTACAAATAGTTTAAATTGTATTTTTCCAATTTTTGTTTTTGACATGGCATAACACATATGCATTTTGATTTTCTCAAGGACAACATACAGTTGAGCTAACGAGTGAAATGCTTTAAAGTGTCTATAAATATTTTATTGATCGGCAGCATAGAGCAATATATTTAATTGAAAGCGCAGATCTCAAAAAAGATACAAAAATGACGAGGCTACATAAAGTTAAAAGATAATGAAAGTATTAAAACATGAAGTTATTCAAGTTAACATAATCTAGATGTCAGTATTTTTTCGTAATATAAAAAAGGATTTTTATTCTTTGAACACATTTTATAGTTAGTCTTGGCCGAATATTTATAATATAATTTGTCAAGAAGTGAAAAGGGATTTTAATTCTTTAAATAAATAATAATACATTTTTATTTAAACTTAAATATAGAAAGAGAATATAAAACAAATTTAAAGAGAATTTAAAATAAATTTAACAATTTATGAAAAGGAATTTTCATTTCAAGCTTTTCATTTAAGATTGATTTATATAAATCATTTGTGAACTCTTATATAATATGGAGTTTTACTTCAAGCTGATATTTTACCCTAAGTAAATGTGTTTTCAGTTGCTCAAATAAAAATAAAACGATTAATTTTGTTAAATTAATTTTAAATCACACACGTTTTATATTTAGTTTCATTTTTATAAATGATAGCATTTTGGTACATTAAATACTTGATAACACTGTCATAAAACGAATTATAACATTTTGATGTGCCCGTCGCGACGGTTTTAAGTTTGGCAAAAACTCTCTCTAAACAAAAATAAAACACAAAAAAAAAAAAAAAACAACACTCATTAACAGTTAAATTTACGAGTTCTTGCGTTTTTTATAGGACGAAAAGAATCAGATTCTGACCACAAATGCGTGGTTAAATTTGGTAAGTGACATGTACCAGCCGTCAAATTTGTCTAGCACCTGTTTGTCTGTCTTTCTTATCAACTGCTAGGGTTTTATTTTTGGTTCTGCTTTTTATTTCTTTTTGATTTGCTTAAAATTTTGAAACAAAGTGCGACTAACTTTTTAGCTAACAGTAAACACAAGCATTTCTTTGAAATAAACCTCTTTTATTTATTGATTTCGGAAGCGTCTTTATCAAATATGTGTTGTCTCGATATGTGTGTGAAAAAATATACAATTATTATATTAAAAGTCAATTGAAATTTATTTGCTGTGATACACCGTTAAATTATATATTTATATATATATATATATACATACATATATTGTTGTTAGTGCAAAGCTGCAAAACTGCAAATGGCAGTCACTTTAATTAAAAGCAATTGTTAAAAACAAACAAAAAACTACACACTTAAACGAAATAAAACTAAATAAACAAATAAATTTGAAAGCAATATTTGTGCTACCAGACATTAGTATAGATCAACTATTGTAAACATCCTGTTAGTCCTCAATTTGTTCTGAATACTCAGCCTTAAAAATATTTGATTTATAGATTTTCATTTAACTCGAACTTGGGCCCCAGCTCGTTATAACTGCCTTGGCATATGGTCGAGGGCTCTTGCTAAATTGGCATAAATTGCCATAGAGCACTCCAGCCATAAGCACAAACAAATAAATCAACACAAACAAGTTGAAGAGCGTTAGTCTACCAGCAAATACCCTGTAGCTGAAGCTCTTTCCTTTTAAGTCTTGAATAACTTCAATCTTCATCAAGTTGGGATAGTTATGAAAAGTTCCTATTATAAAGAAACCTAGACTTGAAATTAAAGATGACAAATGGAAGTTGGGAAAAATTAAGCAGAGCTGCTATAACTATTTTTATGATTTTTAGCTGAAGTTATTTTATGTCAATCAAGAAGTTTCAAGTTTGCAAATCTAAACTTTGGCTAGTTCACTTCCAGCTCACTGTTTGCTCGTATACAGGGTATAAAACAGGAACATAAATAAAAATTTATGCACAGCAACAATTTTTACGCTTCGTTTGTGGCACACCTGAAGCTGGTGCGATTGATCAAAAACCCCTTTTCAATAAAATTAATAGCGCATTTTTTCTGCGAGATTTATGACTGAAACCAATAATTTTCAATTTGTAAAATGCTTTTTTGATGTTTTGTATCTAAAACTAAAATACAGCTAATTGTTGGGAAAACAACAACGCAACAGAACAAACACAAAAACAACAAAATATGAAAAAAAAAAAACTAAAAACATGTTTAAAAATGAAACCTGCATCATTGTTGCATAGTGCACCAACAAAAAAAAAATAACAAAACCAAAAACCAAATGGAAAAACTAAAACATTTATTATTAAACAATTTTTTTAGCAGCGTGTCTAGGCGTTATTGTCGTTGTCTTTGTGTGGTTTTTAAAAATATGAATTTATATATGTGTCTAAACTTTGTTTCAGTTAAATAAATGTTTTTTCCTATCCAACATTGTTTACCTTTGTTCTCTACTTTTTTTTTTGTTGTGTTCCATGTTTTGTCATACAAATTAAATAAACACATTAAAATCGAATTTAATTAAATGACAACTTGGATTAAAACTGTGCAACGCAATGCCCTTAAAATGTTGTCAGAGCTTGTGCCAGAAATGATAAAAATATTATTGGACTATGAAAAAAAAGATTAATAATTATTATATTGCATATTAATTTTAAAATGTGCCCATATCCATTATTCCTGTTTGATTATAATTAAATCAATATCAAAAGCGGAAATTTCACTTCACAATTTAAATCTAAATAAAAAAGTTTCATTTAAATTCTAAATGTTATCCTATAGTAGCAAAATAGCCACTATTAAATCTTAAACAATTAGTAATTAAATTGTGCAGATTCATGGATTAAAAGCATTTTAAAGCTACTATTGAAAAGTTCAGCTACAAAGCTATCAAAAACATCTTGCACAAAATAATAGGGAATTATTTACTCAAAAGCAGATTTGTCAAAATATTCCACAGAAGATCATTTGGTTGTGTGTTTAAATCCTCATTAAATGAGCTCCTAGAACAGCAGTTGATTGCACAAATAATGTACAAAAGGATAATTAAAGGATTAAACATAAATTCTGGCATGTGCTTCAAGTCAGACAACAAACAACTTGTCTTAAGTGCATTAGAGACAAATTAAAGCAAGCATTAATACACTTTTAATTAAAATTTAATTAACATTAATATAATTGTGCGACTCGTGTTAATTTATCACTTGAATTTTAGAGTATTTGCTCATTTTTGTGTTTTGAACTGCAACCTGCCCACTTTTCGGTATGTGTGTATGTGTGTGTGTGTGTGCGTTTTTTTTTTTTACTTATCATGTACTAATACATATGCGAGTATCTATTACAGATTATGTTTGATCAACTTAAATTATTGCTGGGTACATGTCATAAATCGTTTCCAAACAACTGAATAAAAGCAACAAAATATATATATATATTTAAATAAAAAGGAAACAACAACAACAACAAAAGACGGCATGCATGTTGTTTAAAACCCAAACTAAATTTAACTAAATAACTAACCTAGGTGTTCTTTTTGTATCTAAACATAAATGTATACACAAATCTAAATGAAACTTAAAAAGAAACGAATAGCTATATATTTAACAAAACAAACAACAAAGAAAATGATTCGGCTTTAATGTGCGGCAAGTAATGTTAATTAAAGCTCTGTAATTAATTTATTTATTACATTTCAAGGTATTTGCATTTTGATAAACGTGCATTTGATTTATGCACTACTTTGCGATTGATTCATTGATAGAAAATCGCAGCGTTTTGTTGATTTGCAAACCGCATTAATTATTCAACCTAACTGCAGCTTTATGAATTTTAGCCGTGACATTTTCAACTTTTGCCCGGCCACGTTGTCAATTACGCTAATTAGTTTACTAATAATTAATAGCTTACATACATGCTGATGAGCTGGTATTTCCACACATACACATGAGATATGCGCATCTCAATTTTCACCCACAGCAAAGAACGACGACTACGTAAATGCCCTTATATAAGGTAGTCTCATTACATTTAATTATCTCATCTTTAGGCTCTATAAATATAAACGACTTTCTTGATGGCATTTTGAACTTGGATTAAATTAATTCTACATTTGCTAAAATGTTTAAAACTGATTCATGGGCTTGTTTGTTTGACTTTTTACCAAATTCCTCTCATACAGAGTGGACCCTGAATACCCCCCTGCGGCTACATATGTTAAATTTAAAACACTAAAAAAAAAAGGAAGCCATAGGAAGCAAGCATAACAAGTGTCCATGATGTTGCAACGTGCTCAGTGGCTGACAAGGTTTTTTCTTGATTTTAAATTTTTTATTTGTTTCATTTTAGTTTTTCGTGTTGTTGTTGATGATAATGATGATGATGGTGCTTTAAGCATCGATGGCCCCGGCATGTCAGTCTGTCCGTCAGTCAGCTGTGGCAATGCAACCAGACACCAGCACATGGTAAAGTGTCATTGGCAAAATTACCAGCCGTACGTTTCGAGGCGTACGTGAGGCGGTCTTGAACTCTGAAGTGTCAGAGGCCACCTCCTTGGCACGCCATTAAAATGCACATTGTGTGGCCGAGGCCCAGCCCCTGGCCCGGGCGCAGGCAACATCAAAGTTTAAGAAATAAAGTCATTAGCATTTTTCGGCTAACACCAGCAGCCCTGTACCCCTGTGTTACCACGCTCCCTCTCCTGCACCCGCCCTTAATGACTTTCCTGGCTGCAGCCACACAAAGCCCACCAAATGACTGGCCATAGAAATGTGTCAAAAGGAAATGTCTAGAGTGCTTTTTTGAGCATGAGGAACAATATAGGAATCCTGAAGTGCAACATGCTTTCGAAGGTGCTTAAGCTGCTAATAGCAGCTAGTTAGCTTGTAGCTGATGTCACATTCTGAGGGCAGCAGAAAAAAACAAAGGGCAAGAAAAGCCAGAATTTGATCAACTTTGATTACAATTTTATTTTTTTTAGGCATAAATAGTATAACCTTAATCTAGTAGAAAATTGAAAGTCTATTGAATTCCCCTTTTTATAATTCATTGAGGTTTTTCTTTCGTTAAAGTTTCCCAACCCACAATATTCAAATTTCGTATGAAGCTTATTTCTTTAAAAACTGGGCTACCATACCATATTTTCCGGCTTCTCCATTCGACCCCAATACATTTGTGCTGAATATTGAGTATTAAAAATTATTGAGATTTTTCACTTCTACAGCTCATTACATGAAGCTCTTAGCTTAATTCCAATTTTATTACTGTTGCCCCAACATGCAACAATTTGGCGCACAACCAAACTGTTCGCACTTATCACACACTTATTTGTCGTGGCATTTACAACAGCGACGAGGTAGGGGGAGCGGTTGTAGGGTTAAGGGGTCACAGCTGGCAAGGCTAACAAACTTTGTCCTTGAGCTCGGTACAACCAGACATATGTGGCATGTGTAGTATACCCCATTTACAAGCGAGTTGTGCTGTGAACATTTATCATAAAAGTCGGTGGGTATATATGTTCCGGTTGGATCTAGATTCTGACTACAACAACAGCAACAGCAATTGTTGGCTCATTAGAAACTCATTTAAAAACAATTTGGCACGTTAATGCAAAGTAAATCTATAAGCTTATGCATGCAATGACAACGTGCTCAACGAGTCCCCTACTCGAACAGCGAAGTGGCATATGAAACTCTGCGACAACTTTCCATATGCCTTACATAAGGTACATAATCGTATGTACTATATATATACATATATGGAGTATATGTATATAGATATGACTAAGCGTACCAGCTACAAAGTGCGAGCATTTAATGCAAATGTCATTCGTTGCAAATGATGCCTCAACTTTAGTAAATTGTTATAAGAAAAAGAGAAAAGCTGTCAAGATGTGCCCCAAATTGAATACCCTACTTTA